CTGAAATCCTTTTGCTCTGGTCACACTAGCCAAGGCTTTTCTGGACAACTGGGCAACTGGACCCTCGTATCCCAACCGCTGGACACCAGTTTGTCGCGACTGCCACCTCCTCCTACGTCACCACAAGAGATGACAGGTCACGATCCTTCACACACACATACATACACAACTTCGCTGCCACCAACCACACATAAACCTGACACATCAGACTTAGTATGGATTTCAAAATAAAAATGATGATTTATTGAATACAAAAATACAATGTAAATCACTGAGTAAAAGAATCACTTGTCACACTATATTTCTCAGACCTTAACCCTGCACAGTTCTTTGTTACTTAACACTCAATTACCTAACCTATATCTAACCCTGTCTACAGATCTTCTTTCAAGCCCTATCTCAGCCCTCTCTCCTTCCCTTCTTTGCACTTCACCCTTATATACACAAACTCCACCCCTTTAAGACCCACCTCCTGCCCTGCCATAGGCCAGGAAATTGTTGAGGGCTAGCCCCATGAACAGGCAGAGTGGAACAAATGCTGGGGGAGCAGTATTGCTAGGGCTCTACCTGCTTTTTCTGACTGCCCCGGGGAATCCTCTGTCTTGAAGAACCACATTTATATGGTCCACAAATCTGGCTTTGCTGCAACTGGCCCGGTCCCAAGCAGGGAAAAGGAAAACAAATATATAAAATAACAATAATAATTAAAAAAATAAATCTGGTGATGAGTGAAATAAACTCCGTAGTTATTATGTTAATAGTTTATGCATTTTGAAGTGAAATATTCTTTTGTCTCATTTCTCCTTTGTGGGTGCTTTGGGAATCCTAAGTTATGTGTGCAGTAAAGAAAGCGGCCTATACAAGTCTGTAATTTCAAGCAAGTGTAAGTAAAGAATTTTTTTTATTATTCTTTCAGTTACAAAGGTGAGTTCTTCAGATATTTAGGGCCCCTGCAGGAGCAAGGGGTGAACTCTAGGCCACTGGATGCTGCTCTGCTCTGTGACTCTCTGGACTTCTAACTGCATTACAAAGAAGAGAACCGTACCAGAAAATCCAAACCTCGGCAGCATATCCTTCCAATGTTCGGGGGGCCACATGGAGCAAAGCCCTGGTTGCAGCCCTCCTGGGGTGGGGTGGCTTGGCCCTCTGTCCGCACAGCACAGGTAGGTGACGGGGGACAGATCTGCGAAAGGACATTGCAGGCCAGAAGTGACATGACGCGACCCTGCAAAAAGGAAACGTGATGTGCAGGAGCCACAAACGAAGGAGGCGAGCAAGGAATGTCTTGACATGTGGACCACGTGATGCCGGGAACACCCTGGCCGGCCTTCCCCACCACCTGCTGCTGCTTCCCGGTTCATTAACCCCACCAGCGCAGGCAGGCAGGCAGGCAGGCCGTTCAACCTGGCCTTTCTGTCAATGAACTTGCGGAGGCCAGGGGAAGAGGATGGGCGGACTGAGTCATTCACACTGAAATAGAAATCAGTGAGCGCTCTCTCTCTATCTCTCTCTGTGTGTTTGTGTGTAGCTCGTATTCTGGGAGAGGTCCTCCCGGCCGTGTTCCGCTTTAGAACTCTGACCCGGCTTTGCAAACATTGCAAAGAAGGACGGCTCTCTTGTTGACGGGGTTCATCCCGAACCGTTCCTCCGGCTGGGATCAGGGGAAGAAGAGAAACTCTACGGAGAAAACTGTCCAGAAGAGCAGCGGTAACATGGAGCCTTTAGAAGACCTGGTGCAAGACCCCAGGTAAGCAGCTAAGGGACCCCGCACCGGTTTTCTCCCGACCGGCTGATGGAGGCCTCGAGCAGAGCAGAGCATGCGGTATTTGGGGTAATGACCGCTCCCCAGCATCCAGGCAGTGGCCTCTCCTGGAACTGCCCTCCGAAAGAGCAAATTTCCCAGGGATTGGGGCCCGGCACCCTTCCCCATCTTGTGCAGGCAGCCACAGGTAGGGTGTTCTTCCAGCTCCGATGCCCGTGTGGGGTCTGGGGGTGCATCAAGACGCCCGGTGGTATGAGCAATGCCCAAGTCAAGTGAGAGCTTCGGCGGGGCAGCCTTCCAGCACTTCGAGAAGAATTCCTCGTAGCTTTCCAAAGCAATAAATACTTCTGTGAATTGAATTCTGAATTCATTACTGATTGACTAGATGTCAAAGTGACCCACTACTAAGTTAAATCTAAATCTGAAAAGGGTTGGTGTGTTTTTTTTTAAATGGTTGATGCTACTTTCCTGTAATTTTTTGGTTGGCTGGATATGTTTTTAAAGTGTTTTTTTAAAACCCTGTCCTATTTTAATACAATGGCTTCTTTAATTGCGTATGGGTATTACAACTCTTTCTGCACCTAGGTTTCATTCGTTTTGTCTATTCTTGTTTTTTTTTTTAAATCTTGTTATAAGCCACATTGAGTTCCAATTCCGAGACAGAGGTAACAATAAGTAAATGAATGAACTTAATGTGTTTCCCAAATCTCAAGATCTTCCGGAGAAATTGAAAGTACGCAAGTAAGAGCTGAAAAACGAACGAACGGAATCAGTGCACATGGAGGGAGAATGGCTGTGGGATTGGGGTGGTTTAATTTGTATTATGTTCCATTGATTACACAACATACAAGTCAGCCCAGAGTTTTTTCCTCCCAATCTGATTTTGTTTCATCTGCGGTTGGAATTTCTACTTTTTTTTTTTTTTAGTGGATAGATGCATTCATATTGCCTCAGGCGGTATAACTGAGCCAACATAGAAAAGTGTGTTCAGGGGGTGCATCTAGGAGACCAAAAGAGACACAAAGAAAGAGGTGGGGTGGGGTGGGAGGAATTGCTCATTGGCACTTCTTTGCAGCTGGTTAATGTATCTCTGCATTAGCAGCACCTTTTGCAAACCGGGACGGCTACAGCAGAAGCTGTGCGGTCGGCTAAAGCAAATTCACTCAAATAATTTTTATACCTTGACCATGTTATCTCACTCTGATGTCTGAGGAAGTGGCTTTTGTCAGTGAAAACTCACATTAAAATATAAGTCTTTAAGATGCCACAATGTTTTTGTCTTTTTAAATTCATTTTTAAAAAATTCTTACTTCTTCCTTTGTGCTTGCCTGATATCCTTGCACAGACTAACACGGCAAGCTCTCCTAAAACGACAACTTTGGACATGGTGTTTCTCTTAATCTCGCATTGCCTCGGCCAGTCTGCTGTAAATGATCGAGTCGAATGGCTAAAATCTTTTAATTACACTCTGGTGTTGCAGGATCAGTATAAAACACTTGGTGTTAGGTTGGATCCAGTAGTTAACAAGTCAGGCTAGGCATCTGTTCTGCTGAGATTCATACCAATCGTATGATGTCACCGTAAAGAACACATTCATTTCGGCCATGAAGATGCTCGTGAACGTGAAAACATCCATCTTGGGGGGAAAAAAACAGGTCTTTTTTTTTTCTTTCGTGCTGGGACTTGGTGGGGCAATAAGGTGAAAAACGGCGATTAGAGGACCATCTTTAGTGGGGGAGAGAAATATAGGTTCTGTGGCTTTGTGACGAAGAGCGAGGGAGAGGGAGAGGTAGGTGGGAGGCACTGTGTAATTGCACCTGAGGGAATCCGGCTCTCAGTTAAGGAAGCGACAGAGCAGGTAAGGCAAAATGGGGGTCCCTGTGAGTACCCCTAAAAACACATTTTGCTTTCTCGGGGGGGGGGGGAGAGGCAGCTTTAATTATGCAAATGTCTTTTATCTTACTGACTTACTCCAATTGCATCAGATCCATGTTCATGCAACACCATGTGCATTTGTGCAACTATTTTTAAAATTTTGATTTGGTAAACATTTTTTGCATCTTTTTGGTTATTTGAAATATCTTATCGGAAGCTAGGGGCATTTGGGAGGAGAAGGCATCTTGTGCGGTGTAGCGTTTAGAATGTTGAATGAGGACTCTGGGGGGTGGGTTCAATTCCCCCTTTTGGCCATAAAAGAGGGTTGTTACTGCAGAGCTTGGAATTTCTAGTGACTTTCCCTTTTGCTATGCGGTAGAAGAGCTACAAGTTTGCCAAATAGTCCACCCTTTCCTCATTAACTGGCACTTGCAGTCTCATTCCTCACTCTGAGACATTGGTAGGAGAAAGATTTAAACTATTCCATTACTTACGGTTGCGAGCAGATCAAGAGCAAACAAAACAGCATGGCTTCCAACTGATTAAAGAGAGGGAAAGAGAAAACACTCAGCAGAGAGGCGGGGCTCCCTTTGAATGCAGAAGGCACGATTGGTTGACAGCCACCCAAGCCCAGAAAAGTCCCTCTCTGTCACTCAAACCACAGTCAGCATGCAAGGTTGTAAAAACCCCAACCGTTGTGAGCCTAAAATGGGTAGGAGAAGAGCCATAGTATGATGCATTGAACCGACTAAAGGAAAAGACGGAAAGAAGTGTAGCAAAACAAGACTTTCCAATACCTGCTACCCGAATTTTCTTTTAGCCCAAGCTTGGGGGGGGGGGAATGTTGTTTGAACTACAACTCCCAGAATGCCTCTGGTTTCACAAACAGGGGCCATGCCAGCTGAGGACCCTCCAAGTTTCCAGCGTCCCCTTTCAGTTGGAAAGAGAGGATCTGGGTTCTGAGCAGTGGTGGCTCTTGTGTCTTGTGGTTGGTGGACACGGTAAAGAGTTACACAGACATCCGTTGGGATCCCACCAGATCTGGACTTCCTCCTTTTCTGACACATTCTCTACCTGATGTTCTCACGGGTTTTTGGAGGCTGGCAAGTTATATGTTTTACATCATGACCAGTGTGCTCATTTTGCCACTCTGTCATGTCTAGGTTTGTAATCTGTTTGCAATGTTTCGACATTTGCAGATGAGGTGTGACACAGTTTCATCCTTTTCTTGGCAGAGTCGACATTTGCTGTGAGCACGGATTCCTTAGATCTTAGCTTTCATCCTGTTGGTTTGGAGTGTTTGTTCTTGTGCACTATCCTGCCCACCTAGTGGCGAAACACTTCTCTGGACGGCTTACAAAGGAATAGATGAGAAACATAAGACAGCATGAAGCAGAAAATACTGCATAAAGATAAAGATAAAAATGATCAAAGAACTAAACTAATATATGAGCATAAACTGCTATCACATATAAACCCCCCTAAAGATGCTGACAGCATTCCAGTGGAAATTTACACAAAATGGGTCGAGATGTCTCTCATCAGGGGTGGAGGGACTCGAAACACCTGATTAAATAGCACTGTTTTCACTTTCACGAGAGAGCCAGGGGTTGGGGGTTCGAATCCCGCACTGGGCCTCCTTGGCAGGGGCTGGATCCAATGACGATCCAGAGACTCCCTTCCAGCTCTGCTGTTCTAAGATGATGAGGGTGATGATGAACACTGCTTCTTTTCCACAGGTTCCCGCCCGAGCTCATCCACGTGCTGATTTACAATTTCAGCATCCCGGCCGCCTGCTTCTCTCTGCCACCCCGAGCATTGCAAATGCTGCAGCGTAAGTTTTGCAAGATGGTTCAGGGGCTCGTCCAAAAGGGGCTTCCAGAGTCAGCTTCTCTTTCAAGATGGGCAAAAGTCAGGTTTGGGACTACAGCTCCCAGAATTCCCAGCCAGCACGGCCTCCAGGCTCGGAGGGGGATTCTGGGAGCTTTCGTTATGAAACCCTAACACGCCCTGGTTCTTGTTATTTGTTTGTTTGTTTTTATACCACCCATCTCCTCTCCAATGGTTACAGTGGGTGGTTCACATAAAAAAATATAATCAGTGCCAATATAAAATAAAAAAAATAGTTAAATTAAATAATAAAACTATGTAGACATTTAGAACCTATGAACCTTTTCATGCAGTTACCCCCTACTTCGAACATGGAATTTAACTGGTGGTCGAAGCCCTGCTTGTTCTGTGTTCGAGTCTTTGGATAGGGAGTGCCTACGGGCAACCTGGAAGCAAGACCCAAAGGGGATGGGGGGGTCATGTTCGCTTTGGTCTTCATTTTACACAGAACTTGGGGGGGTGGGGAGAAGGAGGAGAGCCAGCCCTACCGTTATGCTCCGGGCGGACCCAATGCACAGGACAATTATGTTGTGTTTTAATAAAATACCTTTACAACTTTAGGTTTTTTTATTTTTTTTATTTTTTGCAAAAATTGCAAGGAAGTGTTTTAAATTTTTTGTTTAATTTAGTTTTCGGGTTGAGACTTGGAGAGGAATGCACACACATGCACAATGCTCTTTTGGGGTCAGTATGAGAAAGGCCCCTTCTCCCTTAGGCAGGTGGAGGCACTGCTCAGGTGCAAAATAAGGAGGGACGCAGGGTGGGTGTGGGCGCCCCCTGGATCCACCCTCAGCTTCCCAAGCCAGTGACCCCAGCAGAGGCTGGAGAGGATCTATTCCGGTCCCCGTGAGTATTGAGAGACAAAACTCAGCCACCAGACTGGCCGGCCGTTCTCCAGCCCGCCTGGTGGTGGAACCCCAGGGGACACAGCGAGGTGAGAGAAAAAAACTCAGCCGCCAGACCGGCCGGACGTTCTCCAGCCAGCCTGGCGGTGGAACCCCAGGGGAGACAGCGAGGCGGCCGGAGGTGGCCGAACGGCTCGGACGTTCCTTTCCCTTCCCTTCCTTCCCAGTGATGGGCAACTTTCTATTCTGTGCAGAGCTGAGTTTTGTGGAGCTTGCGCTCCTCGGCATGGCGACCTTCCTCACGCTGGTGTCCATCCTCATCTTCGTGGAAGAAGCCCTGTATTTATCTGCGAAGGTCCGGTGTTTTGTCAAGATGAGAACTCTCATCTGGAGCAGCTCAGGGCCCACTGTAAGTACCTTTCCCGCGACACCAGGGAGCCCCAAAAGGTGTTTTGCCCCATTTTTCACTTTCAGCCATCCATGATTTAGGCTACTGCCATGCATTGGATTTGGGGCTTCCCTTGAAGGCGGCCCGGCAGATGCAGTTAAAACCACAGGGCGCTGCCAGGTTTGGTTTTGTCCAGATACGTTTCCTCCAGCATTGGCAACCGTCTGCCGGCTTCTGGTTTATTTTCAGGCTTGATTCAGGGGTTGAGTGACCACTGAATTGACAAAGTGCTGGCTAGCTTGGAACTTGGAAACCTTCCTTGTGGGACCACGTTTTAGATCATTTAAAAAATATCCAAATTAATCTGACAGCAAGAAAGTAACTTGGAAACAAGCCATTTGCCAGTACAGGCCCTGTTCTGGTTGTTTACTATTTATTTAGGAAATAAATAGGAAAAAAAGGGGACACCACAGTCCCCCCCCCCCCCCCAGGAAAAAGCAGCAGCCAAAATGGCTTAATATCAATCGATCAAGTTGAAGTTGAATTCAAAAGCCTTTGTGCCTGTTTTTAATTTTCCAAAGAACCAACAGAGTAAGTGGCCCGGGTACCTTGCAGTGACTCGGAAGAGTAGCAAAGGATGTATTGCCGTGTATAATAACAAAGCATTACTGTTTGTGTTCTGGAGAATAAATAGGTATAAGCAAGAATAAATAGGTGCTAAGATTTTTTCCCGATAGGTCTTCACGTAGGCACACACAGAGAAAATGAGAGTAGTTCTTCAAATATATTTCCAATGAGCTACAATGGGCGGCAAAATTTTGCTTCTGCTTATAATGGGGTAACACGGATGAACTGTTTGCAGGATGGAAGTAATGGCCAGGCGTGAGTCAAGCCAAAGCTTCGAGGGAGAAGCATGTCTGGACAGGGAAGGTGCTTCAGACCCAGCCTGGTGTGAAGGTTAGGGTGTTGAATGCAGGCCCAGGAGAGATCCTGGGTTCAAATCCCCCTCCTGCCATGAAAACTCACTGATGGGGGCAGCAACAGTACTTGCTCCTTGACTGTCTCAGATACCTCAAAAGCTATATTTGAGACATTGCCGTGGGACAAAGCCCTTTTCTCTGTCCGTGGATTTCCCAGATGTTCAGCCTTGGTGGCTGACCCCACTCGGTCCAAGATCTACAAAGGAGAAAAGCCCACACTTCCCTAGTTCCTCCCCACCACGTAGATTTTTTTAAAAGGTGAAAAACGAAGACCGAAGACTTGCCAGTACAGGCCCTGTTCTGGTTGTTTACTATTTATTTAGGAAATAAATGCGATACTTAGCATGAATGCAGGCCCAGCAGACCCTGGGTTCAAATCCTCCCTTCCGCCAAGGAAACTCACTGATGGGGGCAGCAACAGTACCTGCCCCTTGACCATCTCAAATACCTCAAAAGCTATTTGAGTCATCCGTAGGAAAAAGCCCTTCCTTTTCTCTGTCCCTGGACTTCCCAGATGTTCAGCCTTGGTGAATCCAAGGTCTACAAGGGAGAAAAGCCCAAACTTTTCTAGTTCCTCCACTTCCCTTTTTTTAAAAAAAGGTTGTAAACGAGAGGGGAAAAGCTGAAAAACGAAGACCGAGGCATCTAGACCGATGGTTCCCAGATGTTCTTGGATTAAAACTCCCAGACACCTTCGCCACTAACGGTGCTGGGAGTTGTAGTTCAAGAACATCTGGGGAGCCAAGGTGGGGAGCCACTGCTCTAGAGTTTGGAAAAATTACTTCTGGGGGATCGCAGCCAGCATGGGGCCTCGTTCACAGCAGCCTCCCCCCCTTGAGTCTCTGTCCACCTTCCTTTCTCTCTTTCTCCCCCCCCCACTAGGTCGTTTCGATATTCTGCCTTGTGGGGCTCTGGGTCCCCCGTGCGATGTCGGTGGTGGAAACAGCCATTGGCGCGTGAGTAACTTTTTTTGAGGGGGAGGTGTTCCCCTAAACTAGCTTTGGCACACTCTGCAAGCCAGCCAAGGGTGAATGGTTGGGAGACTTTTGATGGCAGACAAAATTGGGGGGGGGGCGCAGTCCAAGGGCGGGAGGGCTCCAAGTAGAACCAACCAATATTGGGAGTTTAGCTCAAGGGTGGGGCCGTATAACCTGCGGGCTTCATAGGGCCCCCCAAGAGTGGGGTTGTTCCACGGAGGCCCCCCCCAGGACAACAGGTGAAGAACTGGGAGCCCCCATTGCTGGGGGACCTAACGCTGGTTGGTTTCTCTTTCCAGGTATTTTGCTACCTGCTTCTACCTGCTGACGCTGGTCATGGTGGAAGGCATGGGGGGGAAGGCCGCGGTCCTCAAGGCCCTGAAGGACACCCCCGTCAGGATCAGCACCGGGCCGTGCTGCTGTTGCTGCCCTTGTTGCCCTCACATCGCCATGAGCAAGTGAGCCCATCCTTCCTTGAACGGCAGCTCTCAAACGGTGGAGCTACAACCCACTTCGTCGACAGCCCAGATGGCCAGCTTCACCTTTCCTACCTCCATCGTCTTCCCTTCCCCTTGGTTTCTCCTTGGCCTTTTTAAAATTGTCCCAGTCCTTGGGAGGTTAAGGCTTGTTCCTCTTATATTTTGTACCAAGTGCCACTGGGCTGAGAATCCAACGGGAATTCTCCCAATATGGCAATCCAGCCTCTGCTCACGGCCTGAGTTTCATCCCGGCAGAGTTAGGTAAGCTGGCTCAAGGTGGACTCGCCCTTCCATCATGATATTGTAAACCACCCAGAGAGTGCTGTAAGGTGGTATATAAGTCAAAACAACAACAACAGCAGCATCTTCATCTTCTTAAGTATGATGAAAGCCACCTGGGCAGAGCAGGGGCACTTTTTACAAAGTCCCACCGGGCCGTTCTCAGGCTGTCTGACCGTAGCATCTGAAATTTCAAGATGAGAAATGAAGACAAAGGAGAGGAAGGCCGGGGACCGTTTGGGAGTGAAAATAACTCTGTGTCTCGGCTTCGGGCACATGATGGTCAGCCGAAATGCAAAACGAAAGAAGAACCGGGATGGTATTAATAGATATTTTTTTAGTGTTGTGAGTTTTGTGGGGAAATGGGAGCACTTGATAAAGGAGGTGCCAGAACCTCTGAGCTGAAGAAAGGGAGAATGGAAGTCCAGGTGACTTCAGAGTGCTCCACTCTGCCCCTGATACGAATCTTGGGGTTGCCTGCCTTTTGGCTGGGATGTAACGGAGCATCTTGAAACCAGCCCTTCCATGGACTTTTCTCTCCTTCCAGGAAGAAACTGAACATTTTGATCCTGGGCACTTTCCAGTATGCTTTCTTCAAGGGGGCCTGTGCATTTCTGGGACTTGTTTTGACCACAGAAGACCTGTATGACACGGCCCAGGTAAATGACACCAGCCGAGCGGGTTTTGCCCAATGAAAGTCCATAGGAGAGCATGTTTTGGTGGAGCTATAAAAACATGGAGGACAGGAGGGCCTGGCATGCTCTGGTCCATGGGGTCGCGAAGAGTCAGACACGACTTAATGACTAAACAACAACAAATAAAAACAGGGCATGGCATCCACGGTCCTTCTGATGATCGGTGGAATGGAAGCCAAGCCCTAAGAGGAGGAAAGATGGAAAGAACTGAGCCTGTTTAACTCTGAGAAAAGAAAACGGAGGGGAGAGAGGAGAGAACTTTTAAAAGACATGAAAGATATGCCCTACAGCGGAGAGGCAGGATCTGTTCTCGATCCTCCCAGAGTACGGGACACGTAATAGGCTCCCTGTTCTCGATCCTCCCAGAGTACGGGACATGTAATAATAGGCTCCAGCGACAGGAAGCCAGATTTAGGCTGAATATCAGGAAAAACCTCTTAACTGTTAGAGCAGTATGACAATGGAACCCAGGACCTCCGCGGGAGGTGGTAAGCGCTCCAACGCTGGAGGCCGTCAAAGGAAAATTAGACAACCCTCTGTCAGATTTGCTTAGAGGCAGGATCTGTTCTCGATCCTCCCAGAGTACGGGACATGTAATAATAGGCTCCAGCGACAGGAAGCCAGATTTAGGCTGAATATCAGGAAAAACTTCTTAACTGTTAGAGCAGTATGACAACGGAACCCAGGACCTCCACGGGAGGTGGTAAGCGCTCCAACGCTGGAGGCCGTCAAAGGAAAATTAGACAATCCTCTGTCAGATTTGCTTTGATTTGGATTCCTGCATTTAGCAGGGGGTTGGACTTGAGGGGCTTAGAGGCCCCCTCTTCCAAATCCACGGTTCTATTATTTTGTGGAAGGCTGTCTCATGAGATGATCTTCCCATGTTTGTTTCTTGCTTGGCTGGGGATGATGCCATCTCCAAACTTATAGAGAGTTCCCACACTGGAGACAAGGGAGTTTTTTTTTCCAGTTCTTGCTTGGCTGGGGATGATGCCATCTCCAAACTTACAGAGAGTTCCCACATTGGGGACAAGGGAGGTTTTTTTTCCCCCCAGACTACAGTTCCTGGACTTATTAGTCCAGGGTAGACATGGTCTAGAGGGACGGGGTAATAATCAAATAAATAAATAAATAAATAAATAATTAGGCCAGTAGCAAAAGCCTTGTTCCCAAACTCTTGGCTGGGGATGATGCCATCTCCAAACTTACAGAGAGTTCCCACATTGGGGACAAGGGAGGTTTTTTTTCCCCCCAGACTACAGTTCCTGGACTTATTAGTCCAGGGTAGACATGGTCTAGAGGGACGGGGTAATAATCAAATAAATAAATAAATAAATAAATAATTAGGCCAGTAGCAAAAGCCTTGTTCCCAAACTCTTGTGAACAAGACAGGCTTTTGTATAGGTCAAAGTTTTTTTAAAAATATGGTCAGTGCAAAGGGTAATAGTAAGGATGATTTCACACCATGTTGTATGGCATCTTCCATAGTTTTTCAACAGCATTGCAGAACTTGAGATTTCCTGGAAACGTGGGATATCAAATAAGTAATTTCTCTATCTCACTTCCTGTTCCGTTCTTAACAGATTCTTTCTCAGTGCAAAGATAAGGAGACAGATAAAGGCTTACCGGTTTTCAGAGAACACTAAGAAAATCCGCCTCTTAAAGGTCTCGCCCTGTTTCTGAACCCTGAACAGGTCCTCTCCGTAACTTCTTTCCACGGTTCCTCTCTGTAGGTAAACATGTAAACTACCCCAAAATGAGTGAGCAGAGCAAATGCATCCTGAGCACAGAGTAGACCCATAGCTCAGGGTGCAGAAGGCAACAGCCACCTCCTGTCCACTCTCTTTTCTCCCTTCTGCCTCTAGATTTCGGCCACGAGCGTGGCCCTTTGGATAAACACTTGCCTGGGTGTCTCCACGCTCCTCGGCTTGTGGGCGCTGGCGATCCTGTTCCGCTCCGTCAGAATGCACCTGGCCGAACAGAACATGGGATCCAAGTTTGCTTGCTTCCAGGTAAGCCTGTCCCAAACGCTGTTGGGTAGAAGGGATGGATAGGGTGCCCAATCAGACCCTTTCGCAATGTAGCCAGAGTTTCCTCCAGCGCTTGTCATGGACAAGTCCTTACTTTCGAATCATAATGCTCATCATGGGTTGTCAAGTCATTTCTGACTTAGGGTGACCCTTTTTAGGGTTTTCCAGGTTGAGAGTACTCAGAAGGGGGTTTCCTGTTCCCTTCTTCTGGGGGGGCTGGTGCCCTGGGACTACTGTGCAGCTTGCCCAAGGCCACCCAGGCTGGCTCTTTCTCCCAGGAGGCACAAGTGGGGAACTGAACTCTCAACCTGTCGCCAGAGACCTAGACTACAGAGCTATCTCAAGCCAACTTTTGAAGTCAACTCACGACCCTCTCTTCTATGCTTTTGGTGCCAGGTTCTCCTCATCCTGACGGCGCTCCAGCCCTCCATCTTCAGTATCTTGGCCAACGGGGGCCAGATCGCTTGCTCCCCGCCGCTCACCTCCAGAGCCCGGTCCCAACGTAAGTAGAATGAACCTGTCTATCAGGGGGTTGGAAACCTAAAAAAAAAAAGACTGGGGAGCACTTTGCAGATGCCCTGAAGTCAAGAGCAGGACTGGCAAAAGTATGGCTCTTCGGAGGTCGCTGGACTGCAACTCCCATCAACCACCATCCATGGATAAGCTAGCTGGGGTTGTTGGGAGCTGTAGTCTGGAAGGATAAGTAGGGTCACATAGTCTCCGGTCTTGTGTTCAAAAAGGCCTTGCCACACCAAAGTTCAGAATACCTACAGAGGCCAGGCAGTAGATGAGATGAATTCTTATTCATTGGTTTCATTACTAATTAAGTGCATCTCACCTTTCCTTGGGCAAATAAGTGGTATAGAAAGAAGCCTTTGAGTTAGCCTTTTTTTTTCTTTGCAGTCAGCTTGTGAGGTAGGTTGGACAGAAGGGCAAGAAGAGGGAGCAAGCGAGTGTAGCTAACGGGATCTCCAAAACCCATTTGGAGATTGGGAGTGAGTGGGGATTTGAACTCAGATCTCCCTAGCCCAAATCTAAAACTCTAAATGTGACAATGTGCCGGTTCCGGAAGAAGGGAAAGCTCAGGACAGAAGAAGGGAAGCTCAGGACAGGTTAAAAAAGAGAGAGAGAGAGAGAGAGAGAGAGAGCAAACCAAAATTGGCCCTTTCACTTCCTCTAGGTCATCTGATAACTCTACGTCAAAAGTAGAATGGGGTAGAGAAAGGTTACAGAGAAAAAGGGGCCTGACCCACATCTAGGCCCCCATGCAATTCCCATGACAAGGAACAGTGGGTTCTAATGCGCCATGTTAGAGAAACTGACAGGAAGAGGGCCAAACATTTCTCTCTTATCTTTTGCTCAAAGAGATGCACGCTCAGCTGCTCATCACAGAGACCTTCATTTTGGCCGTCCTGACCAGGATGTACTACAGAAAGCCAGACAACCAGGCGGGCTGCTGTCCATCAGGGTCTCCGGCCAGCAAAACAGAGATCAGTCCCTGAGCGCAAGGGAACCGATGGACGGAGGTGGTCGGCTGCGCCCGCAAACGTGCGTCGTCTTTCTGCAAGGCCAAACCAGAAAGGAGGACCAGCCTTCCCAAGAAGCAGATGGCGGTCATGAGGAAAGGGAAGCGGAGGATGACCGTCACCAGCAAGCACGTTACACGGACACGCTCTGTGACCCACGTCTTCGCAAGAGGCCTGGAAGGCAAGATATCTGCGTTATGGTTCAAGAGGCCCAAGGAAATAAAATAAACCGACCTACGTCTGTATATGTTTTGGGTATCACATGGGAGAGTTCTCAGGGGCGACAGGTATGGGAAGTCCAACATCTGTTCAATTAGAATAGTTTACGGAGAAGGCAGCCTGGACAGCCCTGCTCCTCTGCCAAGGAGAAAGAGAAGCCCTCTCCATTTTTGTATCCAAAAGAGCTGGAACCAGCCCATCTGTGCAATTCAAGCAACATCTGGCATCGGTGTGTTTTAGGCACAATTTATTCCAGTTTCACAAGGCAGAGGGGAGTGTCAGGAACGATATGGTGCAGTGAAATGTTATTGCTTATTCCGTGGAGTCTTGGTCAGCCTTGCTTCTGGCTTCTGAGGAAGAAGGGGTCTGAAATGTAACATAGGCATAAGGCCTAGAAACTTGCATTTTCTTTTTTTGAATGAAACTTCTCAGGGAGCTAGTGTCTGTATCCACTACATCTAGCAGTTTGCCTACAGTTTTTGCACATACACGTGGTGTACGCACGTGGATGCCAGAAACCATGGCCAAACTGAGAGTGGATGCTGGTACGTTGCTCTTATTTGGATTTCCAGAGCTTGGAAAAGTTAGCCTACCAGACTACAAGTCCCATTACTTCTATGGAGCACTGGATGCTGGGATTTGAAGTCCAAAGCAGTAATTTCTGAGCTTTGCGAAATCCATTCATTGTTGATAAACTTAAGAGACCTAGGCAGAGCTATCATTACCCTTGCTCTGTCCTTGTTTTGAAGACTTATTTTGAAGGCGAGGACTAGGAAACAGAGGTGTACAGATGTGTGTTTATGGATGATATATGCTGTCTAGGGAATTCCGGGCGCTGTAGTCTAAAAACACACACCTACATCCTGCAATAGGCCAAAGCATCCATTCAAGGACCACATGATGGGAATGTGCATGGCAACCAGTATCATAAGTTAAAAAAAAAAGATAGCTACGTGACACAATGAAATTAACCTCACCCTACCCTCACCCCGGTGCTCCACAGCCTGGGAAACGCTTGCACTGAGATTCACCTCTTGAGTAAGTGTGTAAGCACAACTGAGAGAGCTTGGTCTGCAATTATTCTTAAGCAAGCCTTCCCAGATTTGGCCCAGGCTCCATTTCTTGCTGGGAGGACGTGCAATGAGTAAGCATTGCAAATGAATTCTGCTTCGTTGGTTTTGATGGCACCCCATGTCTCTAGCCCTGCCCTTCATGGGCATGTCGCCTTCAGAATCCTTCCAAAATTAGAAACTGGTGCCAGGCAGGAGGGGAGAGTCTTCTGCACACCTTCGCAGTGTCTGTTGGTCCTTTGTGGGACCAGAGTTATCCTCTCCATTCTCACAGAGTAAAGGTGATATCCCCCTGTGTAGGCACCCTTCAGTCTCCAGAAACGGTGGTAACGTGCTCTGTATAGAGGTCTTGGCATCTGGAGAATGTAAGATCGTACTTTGTTTGAAAATGTATTTCTAGCGATCGTTGTACAGGAAAAAAAATTGTCTCAAAGGTGTGACCCGTGTTTACAGAGTGCTTAAAGACTGGAAGAGCCTTTCAAGTGGGTTGTCACTTCTGCAAAAGATCAAAGATGAGGTACACGGATCCTCTTTTGCACAGCTGTTCAGTTAGAAACGGGGTGCAAGCTCCATTAGCATCCTTGGGTCCCTCGTGCTGCTCTTCCAGCATGAACAATCCTGTCTTCTGCTGTGGTTTTGGGACTCAGCCAGTGTGGTTGATGCAACCCGGCCTACTGTGTCATTCCAGTCGAATTTTGTGAGGAAAGGGTATCCACATCATTGAGCAGGAAGGCAAGAGATCGAATCTGCTTTCTAAACATAAAGAACTCGGAAAAAGGTTTGAGTAAAACGACCATTTATTTGGCTAAAGACAGAAGCCAAAAGGGGGGAAAAACAAGAAAGAGAAAGAAAACGAGACACAGAGAAGGAAAAACTAAACACACTGAATGAAAACTCAATTTGTAACAAAACAAGGAAACAGTACTCCCAGAGACAGGAAAGAGAAAAATTTGAACACTGATCCAAGGAGAGGCACAGCTAGAAAGACAGGAGCCTAGCATTACCAGCCCTGGGATTTCCACCACGGTAACCCACGAATCTCCTGTTCGGGGGCATTTCTGTATTGGATTGTCAGTAAAGCAGGTTTCTCCACCTTGGTGCCCTCCAGATGCTTTGGATGATGTTTCTCGCAAGTCTGGACCACTGGCCAGAGATGCTGACCAAAAACATCTGAAGACTGCCACGTCGGAGAAGCCGCTGCAGAGGGTCACGTTGGAGGCCTTTGTCAGCTTCACGCAGTGTTTAACCAACCTTTGGGTCCCCAGATGTTCATGGACTACATCTCCCAGAAATCCTGGCCAGCACAGCTCCTGGGAGTTTTAATCCAAGAACATCTTGGGACCCAAAGGTTGAGTACGTGATCCTGACCACCATATTATATGGTCCAATCTCCGGAGTCAAAACCTTGATCTCAAGATCACCACATAACCCGGTAAAGAGAAAGGTTTCAGGTTATATTCTGGAAAAACTAAAATCTTGTAGTTGTGCTGCAAAAGAAATATAAACGAACCAACAACCAGAAACAATTTCTCCTACAGATGCATTCACTCCTTTCTGTAGGAAAGTTTATTCCAGGTAGAGCTTTAACTTGCAGAATGACCACGGAGGACGTTTTAAAGGCCTTCATTGGGGTAGCACAAAAAGGTTGTGCTGAACGATTCAGAGAGATATCGTGAGGCACAGTTTAGAACAATCTCAACACACATATGGCTTTTGAGGAGGAAACACCATCGGCCGTGAGAACAGAAATTTCCTGACTGTGCAAACTTACGGACAAGAATCAATGACGACACGGACATGAGTGGCATTTCTCCTCCATTCTCAGCCGTGACACTGCATCCCGCCACTTCTGCAAAATATGGTTGTCAAAAATCATCTTAATGAAATCCCACGCTGCTTGTGCAGCCAGGCAAGAAGATGTCTCCAAAGCCCTGGAACTGGCTGGGGGATTCTGGGAGTGGTGATCCCAACTGGAAGGAACTGGGATTTGAGCTCCCTTGGCTGGTTTTAGCGACGTCCCATTCGGTCTGGGAGGAGAAACCACCGGCGTTGCTGGAGAACTGGTGTGGCTTCTTTGTTATAGGATCCAGCCACAGGAGAAAAGCATCGCCCCCAGCAAGCCTGCCATGGCGGCATTCTGATCCAAGGCCACTCATCCATACAGGAGCGACTCTGGGAGGATGATGTCCAAGCAAGGCAGTTCAGACCCAGAATGGGAGAATGACTGTCAGTGTGGGCACGTCTTTCAGATCCAGACCCCCAGAGGGATGCGTGTGTGTGAAGGTAACGGCAAAGACATTCACTGAGTGACAAAGACCTACACCCAGGGTTCGGAAGCATGAAGGCTATGGCTGTAGGGATTCCCATTACAACCTCACACTCCTACGTTGCTCCAACGGCTCCCAACATACCATGAGTATGACATCTGGTTCTCACCCCAAAACAGGGATTTTTCTTTCTTAGACTCTAAAGATGTCATTTCTCCCTGCCAATGAAGCCATTCAAGACTGGGCAGGATCCGAGGGGCAAGGTCACACAAGGGTGACGTGAAAGCAGGTCCATCCCAGTGGCAAAGTGCTGCTAATTAATGAGGCCCCGGTTGCAACTGGGCAATGGCCAGGAATGCAAACAGAGCCTGGTAAATTATCGATGATTGGTGGCCACTTTTTACACAAATCTCACTTAGGCCCGTAGGGTTCTGGCCATTAAACTCGGCACAGCTCTCCTCCACCTCCATGAGGCAGTGGGAACGGTAGCTCCCCTACCGGTAAGCCATATTGAGCAAGGCGGGGCAAAAGGGTTCAAAACGGCATGCATTGGGATGCTAATACTGCAAAAGAATCTCATGGCGCTCAAGCTCCATCAGGTCTACAATGGATGGGGTATACAAAGAACCCTTTCCGATTATGGCTTTGGATCAGACCCAACCCTCTCACTCCAAGATGTGATGCGATTCTGCCCTGATGAACATCTGTAAATGCTACCATCAACGACAGAGGAAGAACACAGCTTTGGATGGGAATCTGGAGCAATCTGAGCTTGCCATGTGTATGCAGGAGTTCCTGCGTCAAGGTCCGTCATCAAAATGTGTGATGATGTGGTGAAAAGATTTTGGCTTCTAAAGGCTGTCAAGGAGCACAGATATGCACAGGGGTCTCTCCACCAGCCATTCAGACACGAAAGAACTGCAAATTTCCTCTTACATTTGTGCAGTCGCCTCCCAGAAAACAGCTTCTTGTTGTTACCCAACTGGTGATAACCTGGGAGATTCCCAAGCTCGGTGTGTTGCAACTCTCCCCCTCTCGCTACCGCCGACTCCTGGGAGGACAGAGAGTCTCCTTCTGTCCAAAGACTGCAGAAGGAAGCAGCTTCCGTCCCCATCTTGCCCAAACGGCTGCAATCTCACATGAAGGAAGAAAATCTTCCAAGATATGCCTGACAGTGCTGTTTCTTCGCGAAAATCTTCCAAGATATGCCTGACAGTGCCGTTTCTTTGCAAAATAAAATAAAATAAAATAAAAAAACACTAGACGGTAGGGGACATACAAACAAACAAACAAACAAAAAACCCACTAGACGGTAGGGGACACGGGTCCCAAACTAATCTATCAACCACATCAGTGTGATTTGCGTAATCTTGGTAAAGCAAACAACACTGAAAATGCAGCGGTGTTCAGGAGGAGAGGAAAGGGAGAGTAGTGGCCACTGCGTTACTCCAAAATGCTCATTTTAGAACTTTTGCTAGGCTGCGGGGAGGCTGTTCTTTACTCATTTCAATTCAATAAATCTGGCCGAATCTCGGCTCCCCTACAGCAATGCTGGAAGTGTGTTGTTTTAGGGCACAGACTGAAATCCACACATGTAAAACTCATCACACAGGACTTGCAAAATGCACCAGTGCCTTAACCTGGAATTCACGTCGGCCTCCTCTTGCCGGAACAGGGGCTGTACGGGCCCAGGAGCGGTCTCCCAACCCAAACCCCAAAGGGCGTGCAGGGCTGTGCAAGACGAGGCGGCGCAGTTTCACCCTGCTAGCATTCAGGAACCCCACATCCCAGGGAAAAGCATGCTCACCCTTTGTTATGAAAATAAGACTTGTGAAAGTGCCCCAGATGTTAAACACACAGGTGTGCAAACCCACTCTTCTGATGCCTCTTAACCACATTTACTGTGTTGGGCAAATTGTCAGGTCATTTCGGTCACATTCGCAGAGGACAAAAGTTCGCCCTCTGGCCCCTACAAAATGGTTCCGCAAACATGCACATATTCCAACGCACGTCTCTGCATAATCCCAATGAGTATTTGCCTAGAGAGATGAGCATGCTCCTCCTTCACATGCCACAATATTTCAGAATGCTCCTCTCCGCATGGCTCAGGGAGGTGGGCCGAGAGGGAAAATGAATCTGTGATTTGTGTCTGGACGACACCACTGCCGACTGCAGCAGGGCCAGTGGAGACTCAGTGCTCTTTGGGGGTCATCCTGGCCAAAACAAAAATACAATTTAAAAACCTTGAAGATAGTGAGGAGGGACCAAGCCAGACCCCACAGGCTAGTTTTCTGAGGGCAAGGATTTATTTTTTTAAAGCCAGATCTGTGTGGCCCGAACCTGCCTACACCCAGAAGCGGCTTAACTCCAACAGACTGGCCACTATTGTGGGAAGTTAGCCAGTGTCTCTGCTCGGGGGCAACACAACGCTTGCCAGCAATAACTTCCACCATGGAAAATGCAGGGCTGCCTTCCTGCGGAGAACACACAATACTCCAGGGCCATCGGCTCAGCATCTTCCAAGAGGGGATAAGAGTCCCTCTTAAGTCCAACTGGGCATTTTTCTTTTGCTAGCCTGTCTTCCTATGGGATGACCATCTTGCAGGAGAAAGGCGCAGCTCAGAAATGCTCCCTTTTTGGTCTGGCGCTCCCAAAATTCCCTAGCTAGCATGTCTCGGCAGGTGCATTTTTTACTCCAATCTCTATAAAAGGTCTAGGGAAAATGTGGCTCGTCACAGACTGCCAATATATGTTTTAATAGGGAATTGTCTGAAGGAGCCCTCACCTGGCTGATAATCCTGAGCAAATCCACTCCTAGACGGAAAATTACTGAAGCTGACCATTAAACCTGAACCTCTATTACTCAGTTAAGACAAAAAGGCTAATGGCAACAGAGACCAAAGTGTAATTTTTGGTTCGCCAACAGAGAGAAATAGCTTCGTGGCGGTTTTTCCTTTGCATCCACCCAAGGGTGGAGCTCAGACAGGGCAGGATCTGGCCAATTCACGGGAAACACGACATCCACTCAGTGAAAATGCTGAAAATGGGTTTGTTGGGAGTAGGAAAGCGTAGGCTTCGGGCAACCCCGGGTTGTGTAAGATCTGGAAAAGGGGAGGAAGAGAGCACTGTGACAGAGAGGCCCGACAGCGCGTGCCCTGGGGAGTGGGAACCAAGAGAGATGAAGTGCGTGGGAGGTGGGAACATTTGCAAATGGAATGGAGCCATTCCAGCCAGCTTCGTAGTAAGACGAACACACCAGGCAGGAAGAACGGATTGGCTAGCATGCCATCATGCCAAAGGGAGTTAACCAGCCAGGACGGTCCCACTGGCCAGGATCGAATGGGTGGTTTACATTTGTGTAGGCAAAATGCTGTATGCTGCAACAGCAAATTCCCACCCATTAGCCCAAGGTGGATGATGTTCCTGAGTGTGCACCCAGGAGCGCAACCAGCGCAACCATCTACTGCCCAATTTTGAGTTATTCAACTTACACTCACGTCAGCTGCTCACTGACCTTTGGTCCCCCGTTCAACCATTGTCATCTACTGCCCAATTTTGAGTTATTTAACTTATACCCACGTCAGCTGCTCACTGACCTTTGGCCAGTGGGTTCGAAACAAAATAAAGCCTTAAGGGAACTGCAAACCCAGCCGGGGCCATTTCCAACCTCATGCCCTCCAGAGGCTGGGTCTTCTGGATGGCAAAGGCTAGGGCTGTACTTAAATACTCCGAGAGGGTTCCAGGTGGCAGGAGGCTCTGCCGAAGGACAAAGATGACCCCTTCTCAACGTGACCGCGGTCCCCATCTGAGAAGCCCAGCCAGCACCCATTCTGGTACTTTCAACTAAGAAAAGAGCTAGCCACTTGCCACAGCAGCCCTTTCGGCCACCCGGCATGAGTTGGCCAAATGAACTGAGTGAGCGCTTGTCTGTTCGGCAGGACACAGGAAAACCCAGGAAGACACACAACTCGGGAGCGTCGCGATGGAAATCTACAAACACTGGTTTGAGTCGCTCCTCCTTCCTTCCCGCCTCTTGAGGACTAGGAACACGGATGCCGGAACAGCAAAGGAACCACCGTCGTTCAGCCTCCCCATGCAGCCTTTTAGAACTCCACGGCCTTCGGCAATCCACCGCCTTCTTCCTTGCCCATCTTGACTGCTTCCTCTATGACTTCGGCTTCACCTAGACTAGAAAGACTAGCGGGCGCTGTGCAGGAGGCTGTCTGCAAGGATTGCAGGATACCACCTTGATACAGGAGGAGGATCCGGGAGGAGGTCAGAGAGACAGAAAGGGCTTCCTCCAGAGGATGGTTTCTCTGCACTGACAGCCTGCCCCACTTCCCCCCTAAAACCCTGGGCAATTCATTTCATGCCATCGGCTAAGATGGAAAACATTGCATTTGCTTCACAATAAGAACGGATGCCCCCCCTCCCCACCTTTTCCCAAGAAACAGACAGAAAATAACTGAGAAAAGGGGAACAGCGAGTGGGGAAGGGGGTGAGAGGATATGACAGCGTTGCCTCACTGCCCCCCCTCCCAAGACAACAGCCGCCCGTATCGTGTGTGTGTGGGGGAGAGCTGCCCCCGAGATGGGCCGCACGCAGCAGGAGATCCAACCTCCGGGAGGCTCCTCTTCTAGAGCTGTGTTTCTTTTCATTTCTAGAGGTGGGACTCGCCTATGCGCCAGGGTTTCGAAAAATCTGCTTCGTTCCGGGGGCAAGTCTCTAGTCCTCTTCGTCCTCACTGATGTCGTAGGTGATCGAAGACTTGTTCCGGGAGAGGCTGGCTGGGGAGGACGGGGGCGTCTTGGCCGCGAAGGGCCAGCGGAAGGAAGGTGAAGGCGAGCGCTCGTGGGTGGGGCTGCTGCTGGGGCTCTGCTTGGGGCTGATGGCCTGCAGCATCCGGCCCTTCCCTTCTTTCAGCATGTGCTTCTGGAGAGCAGAAACGGGAAGAGGTCAGTCGACAAGGGAGAAACAGAGATGGGCACCAAACGGTTCTTCCCAGTTCGTCAAGGCAGCAACACAGGGGCCACTGCTCCCCTTCCCCGCCTCGTCTGGCTCAATCAGCCCCTCGCCAGGCGCAGTTGGCTTGTTTTTTCCCCCACCTCCTCCACTGATCTTCCAGTCCCGGCAAGAGCTCAGGCTTTCTCTGCCCCGCCCTCTGGGCTGATCTCCCAATCAGACAAAAAAGGGTGGGGCCAAGAAGTCTGAGCTCTTGCCCGTGACTGGGAGATCAGCCCAGGAGGTGGGAAAAAGCAAGCCAGCTGGGCATGGTGACTGGTTGGATCAGCTGAGGAAGGCAGCGGAAGAAAACAGGAGCACCCTGTGCTGCCGCCTTGATGAATCGGGACGAACCGGTTCGTGCCCACCTCTACTGAGAAACAATTCCTTGATGTTTTTCATTTTATACGAAATTATTAACTGTTTTGGCAATCACCAGTCACTTTAATCAATAATATGGGTAGAAACACAATTATTAATCCCAATAAGAGCAGACCCACTACATCAGCTCCTGAATGGTTAAGTCAAGATTTGATGTAAACCAACTGATTCAGAGCTGGATCATGAAGAAGGCTGACCGTCGAAGAACTGATGCTTTTCAATTGTGGTGCTGGAGGAGACTTTTGAGAGTCCCCTGGACTGCAAGGAGAAGAAACCTATCCGTTCTGAAGGAAACCAACCCTGAGTGCTCACTGGAAGGACAAATCCTGAAGCTGAGGCTCCAGTACTTTGGCCCTCTCATGAGAAGAGAAGACTCCCCGGAAAAGACTCTGGGAGGAATTGATTTTGTCAATTAAGGACAACATGCTAGCATTTCTTAGAGCAAATCTGCAGAGTTCTCAGTAATCCCAGTTCCAGGGAATCCCAATTTCATCTCCTCCAGACCACAGGGCAGCAGCTAGGCCAAGCGGATGGGACCATGGAGGTCAACCTCTTGGCTAGAGTGCAAATCTTAAAGGGCCTCCTTTGGGAGCGAGACTTTTTCTGTCTAAGTGGCTGACCACAAAGGTTTATGCAACACAAATAAATGTGTTGGTCAGGATTCTTGGGCGTTACACCACAGCAGACCAATGGGCCAACCCTCCTGGAAATTCTCCCAGGCTTGTGACGTGTAAGAACAGACCAGCAGGGCCCACCCTGAAAGGCTGCTGGTTGGATTCAAACCAGGCGGCCCTCCATTCCTTGAACAGCTTCCTTCCATGTCCTCCCTTCTGGTTTCCAGGCCTCTGCTCCCACCTACATCCGCATTTTGGAACAAACAGCCCTGTTCCATTCTCTAACCCTAACCCTATTTCTTTGTGCTCTGGGGTTGTCTTTCTTCACCTTCCAACCACAGCTGGTACTTCTGCAAACCCTGAGGTTCACCACAAGCACCTGGACAGCTACTTCCTGCTCCTGTTTCGGCTGCTTTCAGTGGAGTTCCCTGTCACTATAGGGAAAAACAACCTCCTGCACGTCAGGTCCCTGGGTCTGTTCAGTCCATGGCTGCCTGCATGGACCAGCGGCAGGCCAGCAGGGCAGGGCCTTTCCCCAAACCCAAGGGTTAGCCCACCTCCAGAGCTCACACAGGTCACCCTCTAGGCCTTGACACCTCTTCTCCAAATGTCCAACTGCTTCTTGTTCTGCAAAACGGGTCTCCTGGAGCCCTAGTGCAGGCTGGAGGGGGAGCAGGGTCCCCCCCCCAAACAGGGTAAAATTGCTCATACTTCCTAAAATGAATTGAGGTGTTGAAGGAAGGAAGGAAGGAAGGAAGGAAGGAAGGAAGGA